TCACCTTTTTTCACGGAAATACAAGAACAACATTGAGCTAATTAAATTTGTCTGCAATGGCAGACAGTTTTCAAGGCAAAACACGAATATACAACTATTATCAAAAACATAATGTTACATTTGCATAAATCTGTGTTAGGAATCCTTGCTTAGATAAAAGGGCAATCTCCCACTTTCAGACAAAAGTGCAAGAAATCTAAATGTTTAATAAAATCCAATAACGCAAGGGTACAAATTATGAGATATGCTCTTATCGCCATTTAAAATAATGAACAAAACCCTTAGAGTATCTATCAGAGGTGCAAATTTATACAATTAAACTGTTGCATTGTACTCACTTAAGCCATGACATTCATAAGGCGTCTGGCGATATCAAGACCAATCTTTTAAAAGGGTGTTCGAAATCAAATGTAATCATTGTATGTCAATAGAAACGTTTAATTTTAGTCGGTATCTCTACTTTAAAGGAACCGATTCCTACTTAAACTCATTATATAAACCTTCAGAAATGGAGAACTCTAAGCTCCGATTTTGTGAGTTGATTAAATTCTCTTGATAATTAAAGAGGTAGGGTATATCGACTCTTTGAAGATTGTGTCTTTGAGGGGCTATTTTTAGAATTTAATTAAATTGATTTTATTATCTGAGTTTTCTCTGTCTAATAAAGATTTCTTTAATGAAAACTGGATTTCAAATCAATGAGGTTAATAAGAACTTTAAATGTTTTCCGGTCTAGCACGTGGAAACATGTAGTGTCTCTCTCTCTCTCTCTCTCTCTCTCTCTCTCTCTCTCTCTCTCTCTCTCTCTCTCTCTCTCTCTCTCTCTCTCTCTCTCTCTCTCTCTCTCTCTCTCTCTCTCTCTCTCTCTCTCTCTCTCTCTCTCTCTCTCTCTCTCTCTCTCTCTCTCTCTCTCTCTCTCTCTCTCTCTCTCTCTCTCTCTCTCTCTCTCTCTCTCTCTCTCTCTCTCTCTCTCTCTCTCTCTCTCTCTCTCTCTCTCTCTCTCTCTCTCTCTCTCTCTCTCTCTCTCTCTCTCTCTTATAAATGACAGTAAAATGCAAAATACAAATATTATTTCACTTACAAATTAGATATTTATATTAAAAAGGAAGTAAACTGATTTTTTAAAGTCAATTTTCTATCATTATCTTAATGGTTTATTTTGGAAAATATGATGTAGTTCTGATGTTAGGTACGTACATTTCGTTTATAATTGAAAAAAAACACCTTTTTTATAATTGATAAAATATATTGTGGGGAATTTTTATGATACTATGGAGGAGCAGGAATAATTATGACATTCAAGTTGGTAGACAAAAGTCGTATATAGATAAAAGTGAAGACATACTGAAAAATGCTGCATTATTCTAATCAAACAGATGGCGCCATTTAAAATCCTATCGTTGCTTGGATTCTGTGAGTGCAATCGCAATTCCCAGTAGGAAAGGTACATACAAAGGCAGAACGGTGCAGTTATTGCAATTTTCAGGGACATCATCATAAATTTTCTTTTACCTATCAGTGTTCAATGTTCCCTGCAAATGATGACTTATTCATGATGAGGAAATTTAATAAATATACCTCCCGAGTCATGACTCCCTCCCGCCGATGTGTTTTAATAATTTACTCGAAGGCCCTCTTTGCTTTTGAAGCCCTTGCCATTTCGTCGTCCAATTTTTCAGGTAGTGTGAAATAAATATTTGTTGATTCTCAAAGATATGTTTAGTAGTGGGAGGTTATGCTGCTTTGACTCGAATGATTAAAGGGAATATATTTCTAGTGTTTAACTTAATCTGCTAATGAGTGGAGAACATGCTTCCTGGATGATGGATTGGATTTTTAATACATTAAAAAATTTGACAGCTCATTTAAAAAAACACGAATAATTTTAAAACAGAAGTTTTGGTATACGTCATTTAAAAGTGCAACGACAGTAGGAAATCAAGTGTTATTTTATCTTTTAATGACTTTTTAACAACAAATAATACAAATAATAACACGCATTATCACTTATTATACAATCATTAAGCAACAAATATTAGCGAATTATTTCCCCGTAATGATACATGAAATGTCAGGCATTGACACCCTGGAGAAAGCTTTGAACCACGTCTTTTGAATCGTGGATATTGTTGCATAATGAACTGTTTTATTAGATATTTAATTTTTTGTTAAAGACGTGATAACAAGTTTCAGTCACGATATTCATGATTGTACTAAAATACAACTTGAGACTCACTTTGAGCTATGAATATGGAGAAAAAATGACGTTTTTCTTGAATTTCATTTAGTACAAAAATTTATGAGTCAATCATCAAAACATTGGCAATTCACCGTATATCATTATAGACTAAGTCATAATATATATTGTTGGAGATGCAACATTCTACACAGAAATCAAATTTAAAGTTAAATGGGGTTTTTTTGGTTAAGACGTAATTAATGTATTCATCAAGCAGGCAATTGATTTGCATAAAATTATGTGAATATCATTCATTCTGTAGAAAATCAAAACGAAGAGGTAGTTAAAGCTACAATCGAGAAAATGATATGTAACAAACGTTTGAATTCCAGATTGCTCTACAATCTTTATTTTGATTTGGGATATTTTGAATTTAATGTACCTGAAAAGATAAAGGTAACTAAATTTGTTCGATTAAAAAAAGACTCATCACATGAAATAGTTATAGTTTCGGGTTGATTTTAACTATTAAATACATACACATATAGATTCTAGTTTCAATCCATCATATTATTGATGAATAAGATTTAGTTTGTTTTTCAAGTAACATCTGTTATTTCCTTCTTCGGGGGCCAATAAAAAAGTTTCAGTATTTTACAATATTTGGAATATGTATCTTTTCCTTTTTTCGGATTGTAGATATTAAATGCATAATATAAGTTTTATGTTAATTTGATTAAATGCTATTCCAATTAAGGACAGATGATACAAACAATTTTTTTCTTTGAAAAAGATTTAATATCATGTCACAAGTTTAGAAATGAGGATGGTTCTTAGAATTTTTTTCTCCTAAGAACTGGAATATGAAAAAGACTTGGAAAATATTAGTAATATTTATATAGACAAATCACATTCAGTAAAGGTTTACAGGTGAAAACAATTTTCAGAATATGTGAACATTGTGCTAAAAGTATGATATAAACTTAAGAAAAATATACCAAGCCAGGTGAATTTTATTAGGAAAAGCTAAATGGTAAAAATCAGCCTATGTGATATTGCTAATTTTTTGTCATTTTGTTCGTCCTCTTAAGATTAACCTGGTTTGGTATATTTTTCTAAAGTTTATATTACACTTTTAGCACCAAGGTAACATATTCTGAAATTTATTTTTACCTGTAAACGTTAAATGTAATTTCTCTATATTTGTATTTTTATTGAAATATTACTAATATTTTCCAAGTCTATTTCATTTTCCAGTTCTTCGGAGAAAAAATTCTAGGAACCATCCACTTTTCTAAACCTGTGACATGATATTTAATCTTTTTTAAAGAAAAAAATTGTTTGTATCATCTGTCCTTAAGGAGGGAATGAACTGATTACCTAATTGCCATACAATTTTAAGAGAATTTTAAGTTAAGAAAATTGAAATGAATGAAATTAAAAGTTTATTTTCTCATCATTAATTCTGAGTAACCATTTGTTACAGAATCTGATATGTGTTTATATATAGACTCAGTTTACTTTTAAAGACCCAATTTATTCAATCAAAACCATGTAAATGGTACATGAGGTACAGAAACATATAAAACATATTATATACATTTAATACAGTGGGTCAAGCAGAAGGTGATAACTAAGGAGAACAGACAATACTATTAATTTTAGAAATAAGTGTACATAATTTTTTCAAAGAATCAACGTCATTTTGGCACATGACTTCACAAAACTTAATAATTCCTGAAATTCCCGAAAGCCATTTTTAAATATTACCTTTTATCTCTCTCTTTTCGACGCATGCTGTATCCATATAAAGGTTTATAGAGTTTTTTCATAGACATAATTGTATTGAATGCAGCAATTTGAACGACAGATGTACTTTAATTAGGACAATTCGTTATTAGGCTGTCAATAATATCCAAGTTATAGTTGCTTTGCTTGAGATTAAATAATCAAATAAAATAATTATAAGGTTTAAGTTTTATTTATGATTTATGTCTTTATTTTTAAGCCTATTCTGAAAAAATAATTCTGAAAATCGGTAAACATTCAAAATGACAAATACGGCTTCTTTGTTGACCGATTCAAATTTATGCAATGCAATATGGCATTACATACGGTTATATATACGTTTTGGTAATACAAGACAATAAAAATTTTTTTTTATCGTTTTAATTTTTTTTATTTGATTGGTCGTCTTTATTCTGTAAAGTAGCATGTTCAGTAGTATAAAACAATTATTATTGTGATAAAACATTAGAAAAAAAATAATTGCAGAAGAAAGTATTTTCTTTAATAAGTTTTGAAATGATCCCCGGTCACATTTCCCTATCGAAAATATGAAGACTATATGAGATCTTCCTGTTTGGTAACTTAATAATAATCCATTATAATTACGAGGCATGTAGTTACAGATAATGTCATCAATTATAAGAAGATAGATCTATTTAGCAGCGGCCATTGGAGGCTGTTGACCGGCCAAAACAATGATAACGATATGATTACTTACTGGCTTTTAAGCATATTTGAATAACTTCACTCGGGTAATCGAACACTGTTAGGTGCATTCTAATAGAGTCCACTTTCATTGCTTACGAATCGTTCCTTTATTTTAACAGTGCAGACGAACGATTCGGCAACAGATGTAGCGTATTTGTTACAACTATCTAAATGTGTTACAATAATTACTATGTATTATGTTGTACTCTTGTTATATTAACAGATTTTTTTTCTCACTATATGATACGACACATAATTATTTAAATACGTACATGGCATCGAACGAAATGGTTTCGTACTCATCTCTTTTCCATTATATTTTCAGAGTCAGTGGGCTGAAATCCAGAGATGAAAGAAGTATCTGAGAGATCATTGGGAATGTATCAATCAAAGAGAGATAATTTATAAACACCAATTTAAACGAACTCAAAGTATCGATGAGAGCACAGATGAACGCAATATGGCGCCAAGCCACGCGAGACTTCTGCTGAGAGAGCGACTTCCCGCTCCGCCAGTGCGATAAATGATCTATCGTTCTCAAATATTGTTTGACTGGCGGCAACCCTGTGAGTTTTCTGATGAGCCTGCATATTAAAGGCAATTGACAGCGTCACACTATAACGCGCGCATATTTTATGTCTGATCTCTCCTGAGGGGCTTCCGAAGAGAGCCGATTAACGCTAAAATCGGAAACCAAGCTTGATCGACTTTTATTAAAACGACAGAGTATGAACGCTAAGCAGCAGAACTCAGAGAGCAATGGAACGGGTTACATGGATAGCATTATTTCGATAGATCTTGGAAGAAAAATGATTGCGGAGGCTTTGGATAACAATGGAAGTCAAGTGATATATTCTTCAATGCTTGGATTACGAAGTAGTAATGGAACTCTTAGGCCAGAAATTATGACGTTTGATCCTGACAATGAAAGCTTAACTAGCTACCAATATGAACCAAAGTATGAATTGGAATTAATGATTTTTATCTGTGCTCTTATCGGTTGCGTTATCGTTTCCATTGTCATCGGAAATGTTTTTGTGATATCAGCCATTATATTGGAGAAAAGTTTACAAGGAGTTTCAAATTATCTGATATTGTCTCTTGCAGTGACAGACCTTATGGTTGCTGTACTTGTAATGCCGCTTTCGTTGATTGATGAAATTAGTCTGTATTGGTATTTAGGACCTGCTGTATGTGACATGTGGACTTCTTTTGATATCTTGTGTTGTACGGCGTCCATTCTCCATTTAGTTGCTATTTCTTTGGATAGGTACTGGGCAGTGTCTAATATTGACTACATCCGGCGGAGATGCGCAAAACAAATATTGTGTATGGTCGCAGTTGTTTGGGTGGTTGCTATAGCGATTTCAATTGCGCCTCTTTTTGGATGGAAAGAGGAAGAAGACAATCCAGAACATACTGGGGTTTGTAAAATTAGTCAGGATAAAGCTTATACCATATTTTCCACCGTAGGAGCATTTTATTGCCCTTTAATCCTCATGGTTGTGTTAAACCTTAAAATATATAAAGCCGCACGTTCTCGCATTCGGAAGAAACATATAAGCGGGTTACATAAGCCTGCTCGTGCGTATCAAAGACCTTCTATAACCGCTGCTGATGCAACCACACGACACAATAGTTCGGGAAGTGACATAAGTCAAGATGGCTACACTGTGTACAATGGGGTCAACCAAGCAGAAGAACCGGTTTTTCAGGAGGCTGAACAGGACGAATCAGCCGAGGTGAACACAAGATTTTTAGTGGTTCCTTCTAATGTCTACGTGTTGAATAAACAATTAAATCCCCCAAAGAATACAAATAACAATAACACAAAACAGATTCCTTACTGTGATAAAGAAAGACTTCGGAAAGCGAAGATAGAAATGAAGAGGGAAAGGAAGGCGGCCCGTGTATTGGGTATAATCACGGGAGCATTCATTGTGTGCTGGCTTCCATTCTTCCTGTTAGCTCTAATCTCGCCATTTTGTCCGTCATGTGACTTTCACCCTGCCATGTTCAGCGTGTTTCTGTGGTTGGGGTACCTGAATAGCTTGCTGAATCCTATCATATATACAATTTTCAACCCATCTTTCAGAAATGCATTCCGTAAATTAATATTCAAAAGATATAGAAGGCATTGATTGTTTATTATTTTATTTATGTATTTTTACATTTTCCCACATCGTTTATTTGAAAATTATTTTAACTGTGTCACATATTAACACTGGTTGGAAAGTGGGACCCAGCATTTATTTTATTTTTTTTTCTGTGTTTGATAAGAGAATCAAATATGCTTGTTATTTTTAACAGACATATGTGTTTCATTTGATTTTTTTTGTACTGTGCTTTCTATCATCTGAGCAGAATGAACATTTCTTTTGTATAAGATTTCATACACTTTATCAGATATATAAATCAAAATGGCTTAAAGCTTTGCTTTCTTTATATGGTGAATTTCTAGAATTGATGAAAATTAGTTATAGTTGTAGTTTTCTTTCTCGTTTAAATATAAAAGTTGCTTTTAAATTAGCTATCATACTGTGTTTTTAATAGTTGTGAGATGCCTTTTGATTGTTGGTAAGCTTTAATTAAAGGTTATGTTTGACTTTTTTTAGAATAAAGAATCTTTACAATAACTGTGCTACAATTCAAAACAATCAGATTTAATAGACACTAAACTATTCTTTGGCACATGTATTATTCATGTATAGATAAATGCATGTTATAATTCTTCAGATATAAATTAAGGTTCCCAATGAACAAGATAATGAAGTTTAGGCATCTCGGATATATTAATGTTTAATCAAAATACATAATATATCAAATTTCTACTCATAGGGCATGAAAATGAATGACTTGCTGGTGCTATGCTATTGTAGAAGACGTGAAATACCTAATGAAATATGTGGCGGTAACGAACGGTATTCGAGCTCAAAAGTCAATTAAATATTAAAACATATGAGTCGAGAAAACAAGGGCCTGTAGAACATCATAGGTGGGATCAGGCGCCACGGAAGAGTAAACTCCCACTGCCGACCGGTCTGACTTAAGATATATTATTTAGAATGTTCAGTCCTTTTTTGTAAAGGTACCTTGATGTCTCAGAGTAAATGGATAAACCTTAATCATTCCTATACCCATTTAAAATTAATGATAAACATAAGATGTAACATTAATAGATACAAAATTTCTAAGTATTTGAATTTCTGTTATTTATATGTTTATATCTATTTTTATCCCTATTTGACTTTTTTAAGGTAACAATAAGAAATAAATGTCTACATAATAAAAATAAATCATTTCTTTTTCTTGAAATATACAGTATATAATTGTATTTCCTTGTTGATGCCATATATATTTGCCTACATGTGATAGACAATCCATTATATTTAAAATAAAGTTTTGTTTATTTTTAAAAGTAAAATCAGAAAAATAAGTTACATGAACATGATAAAAGTAGTGAGAAAAAGACGGAAGGAAGGAAGGAAGACATGTTAAAGATAGAGCTCGAGAGAAAAGAGGAGAGGAAGGGAGGATGAAAAAAACAAACCTTCTCTGTTTTCTGGTCCCAAAGAACAGAGAATGCTTTGCTTTTTTACTTATGTAAAATTTTACATTATTCTCATATTCCTGTAAATATATACAGGGAACTTTTATTGATATACTCTTGTCACATTGTGGAGATGTTAACGTTATAGCTGTGTTTTTTTGTTATTCATGGTGTATGCATTGTTCAATAAAAAATCAAACATTTTATTTCACGAGTTGATTTAAATTCTGTGTATATATTTTCATAATATTATAAAAAACAAAAACCAGTTCTAACTTTTTGCAACAAATGTATGGAATTTTATCGAATAGCTCGAAATGTGTGTTTTTTGTAAAAACTTTTATCAAATTCCCATCATTCTCTTTTCTCAATTAAGGACTAAAATGGACTCTCTTTCTTTATGCGTTAATACGTGAATCATCTCTTCTGAGAAAATATATATGTAACATGTAAATAATACCAAATACAAACAGGCAAAATTATCCGATAGCGTTTTTTTAATTAGTGTAGGTACATGTATTTTGATGGATATCCAAGCTTGTTAAATCTATTTGTCGATTTCATTCCATGATGAAAAAGATTGTCAAAGAATTTAGAATCTGTTAAAAAAAAAAAAAAAGGATAAATGCATTAATTTGATCAATTATTCTGATGGTCATCATTTGAATATTTGTTCACTGAAGCAGTCACATGAAATAACAATGAATTTTACTACAAACGACAACATAAATATTTAAGTATTTAGGTATAGCAATGGAATATGGTTCTAATAGATTTATTGTAACTTGAGCTACCATATAAAAACAAAAAGATGCGATGTCAGGAATTCCTATCAAACGACATAACGCCAAAAAGATGTCGGAATGTAGTTTTTAATAACACAGAGTGTATTAATGAATCACATTAGAGAAAAGGTATTTGTTGATGGGCCTTGTCTGAGTATATATCTTTCCCATCATTATAACATGGTGTCAAAACGAATTATTTTTAATTTCCTATCATATATAGGTTTTTTCATTCTATATGATTCTTGCAGCATCAAAAATATTGGAAAATCAATTATTTAAGTGTTTCAGGATGTTAACCTACCCATAGAAAATTCCTTAACTTCAAAAACTCTAACAAATTGTTACCTTATAAACAAAAATATATTGCCGGGTCCAGTTAATACTCTACAAAGCCCTTATCTTTATTCATGCAAAAATATTAATTGCTGTTAAGATGAAACCTTAGACGTAAAATTCCACAGCATATTCAATACCTGTTTTAAATTAGATGTTGATCCTCAGATATTTTAAAGAACTGTTAGAAAATATAAATTCAGTAAATTTTTCAAGAGACTTTAACTTCAAAACGTTTTACTTTTCTAAACTTAATACAACTATTCTTCACCGCGGATAGATTAAAAACTATGCTTTTTAATTTTATAGACATCTGCTTCTCAGTTTTTTTCCACATCTTGTGATTGGTCATCAGCAAAATTACTCTGAAAAAAAATACTCTGATTCTACAAATAAGTACTCTGACGTTGATTTTAAAAGGATGCTATCTAGAGTTACGCATCGACAACGTTTATGTAGTCTTTGAAACCCAAGTCCTACAATAAATTGTTTGAATCCCCTTTGACTATTATTATACCCCTTTATAAACCGACCTGTTTTGCATTCCAAAACATTTAGTGAGAAATCATTTTTCGTGGCCTTCAACAAGGCATTCAAAAATATCGACTACGATCTATTGATTTGCATAAGTTTTATATCCATTCATATCTCCACTCGATATAGCCTAGTTAACTTGAAATGAAGGACATCATAGGGTCTGCCAATCTTGATTCATACTTGGATGATTTAGTTACTTCATATGACAAAGTCCAACTAAAAACTAAATTGTATTACAAATGAAACGAATTAAGCTTCTTTTTTACATCTTTTTTTTCGACTTTTCATAATTATGTGTGGAATGAATCAAATAGCAAACCAAGTTATACTGTATATACGTAAATTGGGTTTGGGCAGTTTACGCTTTATAAACCGCGAAGCAGTTTATATAAAAAAAAGTATATACTCCTTCAACCCAGGTTACACCAGTATAACTTGGGAAGCTTTTTAATTCATTCCTTATAATTAAATTTTCAATCATTAAGTATAGAAAACAAGACAATTTCTCACACAAAAAAAACGTCTTCAAATTGTTCATATTGTAAACGTAACGTCAATCGGATCGACACCTTTTGACGTATGTCATTGTGACGTAGGCAACCCAGGTTATACAATTTAGATTATTTTTTATTCAATCAATTGACGCGTTACAACCAAAATTAAATTATGTTATAATATTTCGTTATCACCTGCATATCGCCTTTGTCTTCGTACTTATTCGCTATATTCAAGAACATGCACTGAGTAAAGTCAATGTTAAACCAAGACAAGCATTTCAAACATAACTGGATGTTACAGGCATTTCGTAAATAGTATTGTCGTTACAATTACCTTTATAGCAAATAAGATCTATCATTTTGTCGAATTTGGACTACCTGTTTTATATGAATTAACTTGTAAACCTTTTTCTTTTCGTATTAAATTTCAATATGGAATGTTCCGTCTTTTTGATCAATATAAAGTTCTCATGGCGGGTGTGATCGATCATCTGGGGATACTTGATCTTTCTAGGCACCGATCTCTTGAAATTCGTTTTTTTATTTGTATAAAAAAAATAATCTGGAAAAGGCAGAAGTAGAGACTACATGTAAAACTATATACAGGTTATTAAGTCAGAAGGTTAAAAAAGGAGTTTTTTAAACAAGGAAAATGTCAATCAACACGCAAACCCCCATCAAAAAAGACCCGTTAAAACCTATATATGTGTAAACAAATTAAAAATTGAGTAATTCTTGTGATATAAATATCAAGCATATCAAGTATAAGGGGACTGTCCTTTTTTCATTGTGTATTTTTTTTTTTATTTCAAGGATTTTACAGGGTCATCTATTGTTGGTTAGTAGTACATGCAAAGTTCAAAAGGAGCGACACCAATAAAGGAAAAAAGAACTTAATTTTTGATCCACTGAAAGTGCAACTTTTCCCTCGTCGAATGATATCAAATTTCTGCAGAACATTTGCAGAACATAATCATTTCATCTGAATACACTTGATATTTGAGGAAGACCTTATCAATATAATTTCAGACTAACATTGATAGCTTAGAGACAGAATTAAGTACTCTTTTTATCCGATTATGCAGTCTGAGTTATGTTATACTGTTAAAATCTCCCATATTGTGGCCCCCTTTTTCCTTAATTAAGAAATGATATTTGATCATAATTTCAGCTTGACGGCCTCTGTGTTATTGTCAAGGGGGAATTTTCTCAAGGCGTGAACAAAAGCCTTTGGGCAAGTTTGAAAATTGATTTTCACGCTGCAGAAAGTGAGATCCAAGTCAAATGCAGAGGAACTCTGACTTCAAACAAATATCGTGACTGTTGTCATCTTAGCATTCAATAATAAGATTTCTCTAAATTGTTTTGTCATTATGCCCCCGTAATCAAAGAGATTTGGGGGTATGTAGTTTTTGCCCTGTCTGTCTATCTGTATTTAGTCTACCTCTCTATATGTCTGTCTGTTTGTCCGAGAAAACTTTAATAACCTTGCCTATAACCTTTGAATGGGTTGGGCTATTACTTTCATATTTTACAGGTGTATTTGTAGTGACATGACCTTTCTTCGGGTACCACAAAATTTTCCTCAGTCTTGACCTTTACCTTCACGAGAATCATTTGCTGAGATATACAGTACTGTTACCCTTTAAATTATAAAACTTCGCCTTCAAGAGAAAATATTGGTTTTGCTTGACGAAAGATGGGATGTAAGCGTATAGTTTCTCTTTATATTTTAATAAAATATTCAATATGGTTTTAAGATGTTGCATGTACACGTGTAGTTGAAAGTAACTTTCAATATTTTCACCCCTCAAAAATTATTGGCGACCTCGGCTGCGCCCGTTTGAAAATAGTTAATTCTTTTGGGGGAGACAATTTTTGTCCATATCCCATTTGTATAATGTTAATTTACAATTGCTAATGCCTCCAAAGACATTTTTTGTATAAATAATTCTATTCTGTAGAATTACTCGATAATCTTTTTTTAAATGTATAGAAAAATATTAAAGTTAATTATATTTTGAAAAAATCGATACATCGACTCTAAGAATTTCCTTCGAAAATGTGATTTTCAATTGAATGAAGGATATGGAGATAACGAACAGTATTCAATATCAGGGTATCCCCTGCCGACCTGAAATAAACTGAAACAATTATTTACTGTCGTAAAAATAAATCTCACAGCAACATTTTTTGACGTTTCTGAGAAAATATTTTAATCTTCCTATTTTACTTTGGTAATTCATGTAATTTACTTCTTATTGATAACAAGTAGGTAAGTAACCCTCTTTCCACTTTTTTCCAAAGATAGATACAATATAGGCATCGAAAATTGGATCAGGTGCCATGGAGGAGTGAGCATCCCAATTGTTTTCGATGTCTACGTTGACTGGTAACCTAACAATAAAAGCATTATGATAAACGGAATGTAAACAATTATTTACTGTCGTAAAAAATTCGAGTTTCGAATTCAACTTTTGATTACTTCCCTTTGTTACGTTTTTATTGTCAAATATTTATATTGATAACAAATGTTCATTTGCTAAAATGATAATGCAAAAAAAATGTTTTATGTATTAAAACGAAATAAAATTAAAATTTGGATTACATTAAAAATACATATATAATGTTATTTTTCTAATTTAACAAAATATTACGTATATATGGAATATTATTCTTACTTCTTATTGATAATTTATTTCATCAGATCGTTGCTGATGGAGAATGTAGCATTTGATTATAATTAGATATGGAATGTTTCCACTTTTTTCCAACTATAAGATTGTGCAGTGACACAATAGCGTTATATAAGGTTTGATAAGAGTATATTTTAGTCTTTGAAAAGCTATGGTTAGAGACTAAAATATAACACCATAACGCTATATAGTTCTGCATCTAATTTAGACCCCTACTATTTGATATAAGATAAAATAAATGCTTTTTTTCTAATTCATATTGCCAAGCTGTATTGTAGATATAATTTTTAATTAATTCAAGAAATCAAAGCCTTAGGGATAAGTAATTGAATACTTAATTTTTATGTATTTCCTC